AGCCTACTGAGTAGTATCAGCTGCTCCATCTGGAAAGAAACTCTCCCCACTGGCAAAGCAGACCTGGGTTTTAGTGTGATTTCTCCTCCTTAGCCACGTCCAACCACTGCAGCAGAACACGTCAGCCTCAGATTCTACCAGCACTTCCAGAGGGCCAGATGGAGAGGGATATCAGCTGCTAAAGAACCCAGAGTACAATGAATCAGCTTAGTCAGAGGAGCCCTGGGAAGCAGCACACTCCTCCACTGGAAGATGGAAAACCAAGAGCCTCTGCTTTGTTGCAGTTAAGGCTTAGCGGGCAATAGGCTCCTAGGTGTGCCCACAGAATTCAGGAAAATCAGAACAATCAGCCTCTAGAATCACAGCTAGTCTAAACTAAGTCAAGATGGAAAGGATTCATCAATTGCAAAAGACAGACCCTGTAATACTGTAGGAAGACCCCGAATTGGGTCTGGCTTTGAGACCAGCTCTATTATTGATCAGTTGTAGGACCCTGAGAAATCACTTTACCTCTGAAATTCAATGTCATCTAAAAAAATGCAATCAATAGGGGCGGCACCTGTGGCTCAGCGAGTAGGGCACTGGCCCCATACACTGAGGGTGGTGGGTTCAAACCCGGTCCTGGCCAAACTGCAACAAAAAATAGCCAGGCGTTGTGGTGGGCACCAATTACTTGGGAGGCTGAGGCAAGAGAATTGCCTAAACCCCGGAGCTGGAGGTTGCTGTGAGCTGTGACATCATAGTGCTCTACCGAGGGCGACAAAATGAGACTGTCTCTAAAAAAAAAAAGGCGACCAATGCCTACGAAATCCAAGGACTATAAGAAACACCAAGAACATACATATAAACAAATGTTTTTAAAATATACTATTATTCCAATTTAAGAGATTTATACTCAGCTACCTACTTGATATCCCTAGGATATCTCAAAGCCATCTACATTCAGCTTTCCCAAGACTGCTCCTCCCCACTTACTCAGGAGCTTCTCCTAGAATACCCTAGTTCACTGTCAGCCCAATCAACCATCCAGGCATGGAAGCCAAAAACCTTGGACCTACCCTTTGCCTTTCCCCACTGTATTACCCATTACCAAGTCCAGTCAATTGTACCCCCTAACAGTGCCCACTTCCATCAACCACCATCCTACGGCAAAGCCCACATTCATCCATTCTAGCCTCCCCAAGCCATTCTTTGTAGAGTAAATCTAACCATGTCTCCCCTCCAGCAGCATCCCATTGTACTCAGGAGAAAAATCTTCAGGGCTCACGAAGCCATGCTCCCCTTCTGGCCTCATCTCACACTATGCTCCCTCTTGTTCTCCCTGCTCCTGCCACACTGGCTTTTTCTTTCAATCCCTGGCATTTATCCATCCCCTCCTGGTATAGGGTTTGTGTACATTATCTTCCCTCTGCCAGCAACATTTTCCCCTTTTCTCCCACCTAGCTAATGCCTTTTCACTTAATTTCACTATGGCATAAAATCCACAAAAGTGAACAGCTCAAGAATTATTCCCAGATATCTATACTCATGTAACTTTCATGCAAATCTAGATTTAGAATGTTCCCAACCTCCCGAAGTTTCCCTTTACCTCTTCCTAGTCTACACGCACCCCATCTCCAGATAACTACTTTGACTTCTATCACAATACCTATACTCAGACTACATGTGATACAACCCTAAGGGAAGCTCCTATTGAGCTTTGTCAGAAAAATTATTTGATTCATGTCTGTTTTCCTGGTACACTGTCCAATATCCAGAAAGATAGGGGCCACACCTGCTTTTACTCACCTTTGTTTTCTCAGTACTGGCCATTGAAGTCATGATACAGGAACTAGCTAATAGCTACCAAGTGCTTATTACTGCCAAGTACTGTTCAAGCACTTTATAGGTGCTTATCCTCACACCATCCCTATCAAGTAGGTATCATGATGTCCCCATTTTACAGATGAGGAAGATACAGAAAAGTAAAAATAATTTGCCCACTGCCATTAAATAGTAAGTCAGGGGCGGCACCTGTGGCTCAAGGATTAGGGATCCAGCCCCATATGCCAGGGGTGGTGGGTTCAAACCTGGCCCTGGCCAAAACCTGCAAAATAAATAAATAAAATTTAAAAAAAATAGTAAGTCAGAGAGTCAGTATTCAAAACCAGGCAGTCTGACTATGCAGCCTGTGTTCTTAACCATTACACTAAGCTAATTCTCAGAGGCCATTGAGATATTTAATGAGTAAGTATCTAAGATACTTTAAATGAATGAATTTACAAATGGGTTGATGTGATTCCACTAAAGGAACTAAGGGAGGGTCCCAGGAGTGCCCAACCTGTGGCTCAGCAGCATGCTGATTTTGTGAGGACTCCCCCCTTCCCCATCTGTGGTGTCAGGTATCAAGTATGCAAGAACTTTTCTTGGCTAATTAGCTTTCGTTTGTGTTGTGTATTTAATGTGTGGCCCAAGACAATTCTTATTCTTCTAATATGCAACAGAAAAAAGGTTTGACACCCCTGCAAATCTTCCCAAGCAGACCAGTGAATAGAAGATAAATGTTCACTGAATCACCTGCACAGGCCCGAGAGTGTATCATCTGACATGCTTGTTTCTGCAGCAGTCCAAGGAGGAAGCTCTGCAATTGGACACATAGGAGCATTCTCGTAGACACTCCAGAGTACAGAAAAGATCTGTCTGTGCTTTATTGCAGCCTCAATGTTCCATTAAATAAGCCCCTCTGCTCTTATTTTATAATAACCCAGTACTCTTTATAACCATTTAAACTCTCAAGCCCTTCAATACAGGAAGAGGATATGTGGGATGAGAAAAAATAAAAACAAAATATTTTGTTTAGAAAGTGGCAGACTCCATGGTAAATTTATAAATTGGTGTTTGGTTTCTATCTCAGTTTTAGAGCTTGACAGTCCTGGATGAACTCATGTTATACGGTCCAAACAAGAAAGGCAAGGACCCAGACCCCGACCCCAGCACTAAGGCCACCTTTTAACTGCTGTAGTGTCATTTACCTCCCAGCCACACCCCAGAACTCTGAGAAAGAAAACATACATGAAAATGTTTATTCTCTCACAGAACACTGTTACTGTTATCCAGTGTGAAGGGAGCTACGTGGCTCCCAAGTTCCCTCTCAGCAAAGGTGTGGTTCTCAGAACTGCTTCATCAGTGAGCCTCCTGCAACTAGAGGCCTGGGTTCTGATCACACAAAGTTCTGAGCAATGGCCAGCACCTTGGAATACTCGCCTTCCTTCCGGCGCAGACTGGTGGGAATGGGTGTCTTAATTCGGGTCCCCACAGGGTTCCCATTGTCCTCAATGAGGACCACATTGTTGGAGTCGAACCTGGGGGTCATTTGGGGGCCAGGCATGCGATGCCCCACAATGAGTGCCTTTTTCTTCTGCCCCTTGATGGCCAGCAGTATCCGGTCGCCCACCTTGCCCACTCCATTCTTGGTGTAGACATGGATACACCGAGGAGGGCGATGGTATGGGGTATTCCCCAGGGCACTGTTGTCCACTACTCGCACCCGTGTCATCTTCTGAATTGCACTGAGGCTCCCAGTGGTGCTGGCAAGAGAGAAACAAAAGTCTGCAATCTGTATCTCCCCTGATCAGGGCACATGAACAAAGAAAGAACAAGGGCTAGGGTGAGAGCACATGTTAGCAACACACACATACATACTAAGCAGAATACGTTCCAGTAGGGTCAACAGAAAAGACTTCAAGAGGACATATTTGTACCCCAAACAGTTTCCTTACAATTGAGAATTTCAGTTGTAGTATCAACATCTCAGCTTGGGGGGTTGGGAGAAGTGGCTCATGCCTATAATCCTAGCACTCCAGGAGGCTGAGGCAGATGGACTGCTTGAACTCAGGAGTTCCCTGAGTCCCTACTAAAAATAGAAAAACTAGCTGCACATTGTGGTGGGTGTCTAGAGCTACCTGGGAGGATGAAGCAAGAATATCACTTGAGCCCAAGAATTTGAAGTTGCTATGAGCTATGATACCACTGGCACTCAACCCAGGGTGATGGAGTGACACTTTTTTTTTTTTTTTTTTTTGAGACAG